GAAATCTGACTCGGAATCTTTTGCCTACAATTAATAACAAAGATAAACAATTGATGAAATGATAAGAAATCAAACTTATAACAATAATAATGATAAATCAAAACAACACAAATCCTACAATCCCGATAATCACAACAATATTGTGAATATAAAATACTCTTCAATAGTACTTACAAAAGCACTTTCCTTTCGAATACCTCTCTAATATATAACCAAATATCCCTTAATTTTTACTGTCAAAGAAGAGAATCCTCATTAATTCTTCATAACAATGAATATTAACATATAAATTGAATATTATCACAATACTGATAAACATCGACGGTAACAAAAAAAAGTAATTCCAACAAAATACATTCAAATCGCATCTGATCTATGTATATCCCACAAAACACCAATTCCTTTCCGTTTCGTCAAAACACACACCAATAACTTCATCCAAAAATTCCAAGCGCAATAAAAAAACACCAGCAATACTCCATACTGTCTACACCAGACAAATTTCACAAACGTTCAAAAANATAACAACGCAGAAAAGAACCACAAAAACGCCACATCATTAATATCAAAAAAAAAACAAATTTCACATAAAGACGGAATGCAAATAAGAGCTGAGGGAACGATGCATAAATAGCAATCGAATGGGAGGAATATTTTTGAAATCAAGATTGATTAAGCAAAAATGGATGAGAACACAATGAAACTTCAAGGACACTACGCATCTATCTCATAAACTTACAAATGCAAAATACTCCTCCACAGTACTTACAAAAACACCTCCTGTTTGAATATCTGTCTAATATATAAACCAGTATCCTTTGATTTTTAACGTCAAAAACAATGAGAATCTTCACTAATTCTTCATAAGAAAGAATAATATTAACATATAACTTCTGACTGAATGAATCAGTACGATGAAATTTATGCATAAAAATAACTGATTATTAACGAAATCAGAACAAATAAAAATAATCCCAAAGAAAAGCACTACTCCTTACCTTGCTCGGAATCGCTCTTTGCACCGCTATCTGGTGTCGTTCACTAGCCGCGTCACTACTCGTCCCACCCAACAAACTATCCGGGGTTTCAGGCCTGAAAACAAAAATTATTCGGTAAATTCCTAACAATAGGCAAGGCATCAACAATTCTGGAAGAATTCGTGAATATTCTCTACTTTCCCAGATAATAAACAAGACAGCCAATAATTTCCCATCATCAATAAAAGGACACCGAAAGCAATAACACGGAAAAGGAAATGTTTNCATCTGAAAATCAAAAGGATTCTCATAAATTCCTAAATCATAAAAGAATACAGTAATTTTGCAAAAAATATGCAATAATTTAACATCAAACGAAATCAAACAAAACAAAACAGTAATACCAACACAACAAAAAAACATGCACACACAAAAATACGCAATAAAATGACATAAAATTCTTTAAGATTCCATTATTGTGATTAATTCTTCGTCTTTGTGCATTAAGAGTTTGAACTTGATGCCATACAAAATGATTAATGAAATTAGTGCGACGCCGTGCAAATAGCGATTGACGTCTTTAGAGAGATAGATGATTCGTGAAGATAAAATTGCCAAATTGAAATTCCATCCAAATGCGTCGTCGAGTGATAACGTCTCAAGATATCATTTCATCAACACTCCCTCGTCAATTCAAAACCAAATTCATTCAACTCAACAAAATTAATGTCAACGCAATAATAAATAACAACGAATACAATAATTCGAGTAAATTTCAGTGCATTGTGATCTCATTTTAGCGCATTGCACTGCATCATCAATATCTACTAATCTCATCTTTGAATCGCAACAAATCATCATTTAACAATCACAGAAAAACTTCCAACTGAACTCAATGTCGCAATGAATACTCCACTTCTTCACAGCAANTGTGGCAATACAAAAAAGCAGTAAACATTCACATTCAAGAATATGATAGATGTGGCCATATCAACACTACTAACAATATCGATAACAACAGTATTCGTCAAAAATCAATCCAGGAACAGTAAGTGAACAACGCTGAAGGTATTTTACCGGGCGACTGTGATCAAGTGATTGGCCAGGCTATCACTGCGATAATATGTAATGAAATAATTTGCAAGAACAATCTTCAAATCGAACCTATCCGCGATCGTTGATGCTGTCGACAATTGATTAGTCGCCACAGTGCTGCCCGCTGAAACTTTCTTCAAGTTTTCGGCCATTTTGTTTGACAGTAGATTTGATAATCGCCATACGAATATGCATCCACTATACGAGACGACAATCAATCGTCTGAAAGATTTGCTCAATTTATCAATAACCATTTCGCTATTCCACGCTCATTTCTGCACTCAACTTTCACCAAACCAAAAACAACCAACTAACTTGCAGTCATTCGTAAACGCCACATCCGTCACTGAGTCCGACTGCCCAGATAATACGGCCGCACAATCACCAGTTGACGCCTCGACGATGTAAACGTTTCGATCACTACACACCGTTGCGGCGTATGTTCCGGATGGATCCAGTCTTACCTGCAAAACCATTTATTCAGAACACCTGTTCATTCAATCATCTATCAATTTTTTTATCGATTCATTCAAGTACAATACCTAGTCATGGCATCTCACAAACTGCTGAATTAGTAACATATACAGATATTGCTTTCAACTATCCGAAACATATCTAAACCTTCTTAAATGCNGAGAATGCATAAAGCATCATCGAGTTATCCTTATCGAACCTTAGTGAGTTGGCCATCGTCAGTGGACGTTCCCTTGATTTGTTTCACCACCTTTCCGTTGAATCCGAACGACCTGAGCAATCGATCTTGACAGGCCGTTAGCAGGGTGTCGCCACTCAGCAACATGTGGTTCAATCCGAACTGTGCTTTCATTTGATTGCTTCGTTTGAATGTCACTCCACTTGACTGAAGTTCATTATTTTCATTATCAATGTCAATATTTACTATTATCAACATTCTCAATACAATTTCTTTTTCGATCAGCAAAAGTGAACTCACTTCTGCCGTGTCCAACAATTTGTGTACTGTAATCACTCGATCGGCTGCACACGTTATCAAACAAAAATCTCTGGCCAGCTGAAATCGCATTTCAATCATCCAAAAATACTATCAATTTATCATGACACAAACATTCAACTTTAAATAATTGAATCACTTTCCGATTCCCGTCGAACGGAACATTAAAAAATTACCATTATTTTGCAACAGTTCAGAGGGAAACTTAAGAAGCCAATCAGACATCATAGGAAGAAGATGAGAAGAAAACTGCGCACATCGAAAAACCATTAAAATAATAAAAAATAAAATAGAACGCGATACATCGCGAACAAATCTAATCGTAAGCTCACATTTTCGCTAGTCCCTGAAATGACTGTCGTGAAAACAATCGAATTGATCGTGCTGTGGTTATCATCGATGGTCGTCAGCGGTGTGTAATCACTTCGTGGATCGAATAAATGCACTAAGCGATCTCGACTTCCCGAAGCCAACAGATAATGATCACCTGAAATAATTTAATTACGGTCAGTACTGCTCACTTAGATATGTTCGTTTATAATTTATCATGTTTCTACTGATCAATTAAATAAATACTCAAACTCAAACGGAAACATATTCATTGTCAAGCAATAAGTGAAATCAGCCAATATGAAGTCGGTGGATAACGCACATCGTTCAGGATCCGAATATTCCAAACACATTATTTCCGCTTCATGCGCCTCGCATATTGTTACCATAGGCGTATCGGGCAACGTCAAATCATACACTCTAAAAATTCGCAAAAATACGAATATTTGCAACTAATTGAATGAACAAAAAACAATCTCATACAAATGCACTTACTGAATTGTTGAAGTGACCATAAAGAAATTAAAACTCATAAATGAAGCCCTAACAAAAGCTCTCACCGTAAATTGCCATCACGTCCGCCACATGCAAGATGTTGTCCGTCTGGGCTAACACGAAGCGATTTCGCGCCCACTTTCAAATCCATTGACGGTGCTAGCACTTCTTAAATTAAGAACAACAAAGTCGATTAGAATGCAACAAACACAACAATTTCATGTTCAATGAGTATAAGAAGAAACTACTATTATTCGACTCAATCCAATCTAACGATTAAATCCAAAAAGCAAAAAAAAAAAGCGACTAAACGAAAACAAATAATATTGTTTTCATAAACGTAAAACATCGAAGTGAACAGAAGAAAACAAAAACAAAAAATGAAAACGCACGTTCTGGTGCCTCTGTTAATGAGTTGTTTGTATTCGCTAAATAAATTATCTTCTTGAGATCTTCTGAGTAGACGTTTGTCGGCGGTAACGATGACGAATACGCCTTGAATTCACATAAAAATTTTCAAATTATTTTCAGTCCAATCGCTCAATGAAGCAATTCAAAAAATGAACCCACTTGATCGAATTGATTGATCTTCTGATCCACATTCCAAAGGCGAATCGTCTCATCTACACCACCCGTTATAAACGTACCAAACGGCAGAAAGGAATGCACATTTGAATACACCTTTAAATGAGCCACATTTAGAATCAGTATGAGACGAAAAGTGTTCAAAGATCTCACAAATGATAATAACACTCACAAATGCTAATAATACGACATCCCATCCGTATATCACAATAGAAGATATCCTCAAAACGCTCACAACAGTAATAATAATACTCATTGAACATATACAGTTATAAGAACACGATACAAACAAATACTAATAAGTAATGAACGCAAAGTAATAACAGTAATAATAAATGATAATAAGAATAGAGATAAAAAACATAAGATGAAACTATACTTCAAGTGAAAGGATCGATCCAACATGAAAGAGTTGTGAGGATAGTTTGGAATATGAATCCGTATTCGGTATGTGCTTCCAGTTATAGATCGAACGATCACTATACACAACCGTCATCACATCGGTTCTCTTATTGTAACAGAGTGCTCTCACGTCCGGATACCTACACACATTTCCTCATTGACAAATAAACGAAGCATAATACCACAACAAAACATAATCATTCACGCAAAACATCAGTGAAATTACTTCAAAGAAATCGCCTGTTCACAGAGGCCGTCTGTGCCTCTCAGTCTTGGAAAACTCAACAGGATTCTATGAAAAGTTTATTTCATCTTCCTACTTGATCTTCTGCAAATTCACGATATCAGTGATATAAGCGCCGCACTTGTCTGAAATAAATTAAGCACAAATTCACCTAGCGTCAGCTGGATGCGATGTAGGTAAGAGAGCATCGGCCGACACTCCTCTGGCAATATCACACAAAAAATGATGCGGTTTACAATAGGTACGTTTGTGCTCGACAGTGTCCGTGTCGAAACATCGTATCGTACCATTGTTGAAACCGATGAACAGCTCATGATTACCACCAACCAAAGAATGCGGTACCTCACCGTTCAGATCATACGTGTTTACTAACTGAAACAAATAATTATAACTTCAGATTGCAATCAATCTTTCACAATGAAGCTGGTCAATAATCTAATTTCCTATCATGAGATCGAACATTTCTTGATCATTCACAACTGGTTTAAGTGTCTCTCTCCAGAATCCTAATGCCACCTTTATTTTCAGTTCCGATAGCCATGACGCCAGTCCAGCTTGAAGGAATATTTTCCAGGGATCCTCTCTCCTATTCTAGCGGCATAATAATAGCACACTCAGAAGACCGTCTTAGAGATCACTGATCATTTATAAAATTCGACTTAGGACACTTCAGTTAAACCAGTAGCATGATGGCATCGAGAAATACAGCCTAATGCTATCACATCAATGCTTTTGCGCATTTGTCAAAAGACTATCAATTTAAAGACAATGAATGAAGATTTGGATGGGAGTTATATGACAACAAAAACCTTTTTATCGTTAAATTCGACGAGCATTTTTGTTTCCGTAATCGAGAACGTGCGATTATTCGACACACAGCAAACGTCAACGAACGTATTGTTACGGTGGTCGGCCAGAATTGCTGATCGACCCTTCAAATATTTCTTTTCAACATCAAATTTCTCAGCTAAAGCCACAATAAATTCACAGTAACAATCCAGATATTTATGATGAAACGAAGCAATCTCGAGCCCAGAAAACCTGCAAGCTAAATTGCTAACCTGTAATGGCATTTGTCTATCGCTCTTCGTGTTCAATGCGATATGCCAGAACTTGACATGTCGCATACCAACGGTCACATAAACGCCTTGCTCGTTCTCATCCACCGAATTGATCTGAAATTTATTTTGCTAATTGTAAAAATGCATTCGTTTGTCACTGATTAACACTATTCCCTCTGCCGTATAAAGTTTTTCCAAACGAATCAATATGCTCAAAAAAAAATCCCTCAAACCTTTGAGGTGAGTCGATTTTCAGCGATTTTCATTTTGGTTCGCCAATCCCAAATGGCAATCGCTTTATCATGCCGATTACCAATTGACAGAATGTATTTGTCTTCGTGTGTAAAACGCTAAAAATACATAATGCTGTTACCATTGTTGATGCTCTCAATCATTATTTCCATAAACATCACAATTTTCATTTATCACTCTTATCACAACCGTTATTTTATCACCATCCCAATCAGCACTACAATTTCTGTTACTGCTGCATTTATCAAGCAAATAATGCTGTAATACTGTGATGACTTCACGATAATATNTTGAAATGTCTCAATATAACCAACAGTGCTATATCAATGAAAGTGTTCACTACCGTCGAAATCATTCCTGTTCTTCAAACCAAAGCCATTCACCCCCAAACTATTTATTTCTACTATCCGACTCATCCGATAATCACCGCAGTGCTCCGCTCCACACAAACAACATCCACCATTAAGTGAAAACACCATTGAGCAGACTGTTTTGTCAGCTGTTTTCACGTTCTTTCCAAAAGACTCACAAACGATTCAACGATCCAATAATGCAAATACGCAATGTTGAATGCATTTGCCAGAACGATAATAAAACAGAATTATTGAACGGACTGAACTAAATGAGACACCGAAACATTTTGGTCGTTTCTTTCAATGGAAAAAACTCTGAAGCAGAGATTGAAGCTAACACGCATCACAGATAACAGCACTTTGAAAGAGAATGCATGATAAGAGTAATATGGATAACAATAGCAATATTCATAATATTCACGGATAATTTATGAAAATATCTACATANAATACTTTCATCCATAATACAAAATAACAATGAACTGACCACACAAACGATCCCGATTTGATGATATTTGATGTCCGTTAACTGGTTGAAACAGAACTGTCCGTTTGTATCGTATAATTGCCAGACTCTGATCCTCGGCTCATGTCCACACTGAAATAAATCATTCGTTAACATTCACAAATAAATTTCACCATTTAATTTCAACTCATCGTCAATATCCAAGTCATCCTCAAATAAATTGTGTAAAATCTACGAGAAAATACTGCTCATATGAACGATAACGATACTCATCCATCAAATAATACTCACTTCGCCAGTAGCCAAATAACCACCACATTTTGAAAAGGCCAAACAAGTGATATTGTTTTTCGTTGTACCAATCAAGTGCGCCTGAGCGCCTGTGTTCGGATTTTGCAGCACGACCGTTGAACTGAAATCAATTCCAGATTGCTGACTGAACTCAGACAACGATCAACAGGCTTTATTCACATGCAAGGATAGATAAACGATAAAATACGAGCAGCCAGCTAACTGCATAGTCTATCAGCTCAACCTAGCTGGCTCTATAAGCAATCGCTATGTCCGCAAAGCCTTCAACACTGCCGATCTCAGTTTCAACGGAATGAACCGCTTGAAGTAACTTACGAGGAACGTAGAAATATGTGAAGTTTAAAAAAGCCATCAAAAAACGAGATACAAACCCGGCCGGATATGCAATGAGTCCTTTGTGTTGATCGACTGCAATGGAGCATCGCGATGAGGCTGTGCAGCCAATAACACGTTCTAACTTAGCCTAAAATCAGCAAATTATTCAACAACTTTCAAATGACAATACAAATCTAAACCTACATTTAAGAAGCAATCAACCACTGTTATCAATTCAATTTGGCATATTAAACAGAGAAATTCTATCAATCGACTCAATTGACTGTTGTGTACTCTCTTCATAAAATTCTCATTCTGCTGAGTAAGATTAACATTTTAATAACAAATAAATATCTTCAGAATGCTGCAAATAAAAATCGAACAATAATCACAAAGCGATCACCCTTCTCACAACCATTCCCGAGCTTGTCAATACCACACCTCAACTGATATTTGGAATATTCAGAAGATGCGAAAGATTCAGACAGCCGCAATGGGCAAATTTCAAAATATGGAATAATGCTTCTTGTTATCGCAGAAGAACAAGAATAAGTCTGCGCTATTGATGGCGTGGATGATAGCAAAATAGCGATAATGATGATAATAATAATGATTATGGGAAAATTTTCGAATTAGATTATTATTATTATAATTATTAGGTAATAAAACGGTGATGATAATAACAATAATAACAACGATTATTATTATTATGATTATTATTGCATCGTCATTCAAATGAAATAAATATCAATTATGAAATACATCTCCATGTGTGTACACGTATCGTCGTTCGTTTTCATATAAACTATAAAAATAATCTTTCATTATTATTATTCAAGAGTGTCGCGCGATAAAATTCACGGATATATCATATTCCTCGATGATCATATGCTCATACACAAACCCAAATCCAATATCACACATATGTAATGCAATTTACTTTACATTCGTTCTTTAAAAAATAAATTTCCATCACCCATATTCGCTCACAATCAGTGAAATTAGTCCATTGAAATTCGTGAACTTTAAAACGATTGATTCAATTAAATAGTCGCAGCGGCGTCTCAAAATTACTTCGAAATAAGAACGACCATATGGTTGTCGGAGCGAGCTACTGCAAGACATTCAAATATCTCATAATCACATTTGAGAAATATTTTCGCGTCAACAATTAAAATAGGAAATCGCATAATTTCCCTAACGTCGCACAACTGGTCCAATAAAACGCATCATTATTCGTGCCGTAACAAAGTAGCACATTAAGTCGGCTTATTGAACTGCTTCTAAATCTTGAACGCGATCATGCGAAGTATAACTAATAAACAATTATCGAATATGATTTCAAAGTGTGAATTCCTACCAGAAATTTTTCATAAATAAAATCAGCCTCGAGAGGTGAGCATTCAGCATGAAAAGCTGGAGATTCATTACATTCAACGTGAACAGATTATCAAAGAAGCAAAGTCAAAATCATTCCAATTACAATCTTTTGTCGGAATACAACGAAAACGCTAATCAATCTCGATGCAGGCAGTATTCNACCAATGGTTGTCAACTTAGATCACACCGGATCACGCGGATACTGATAAATCCGTTTAAGCCTAAGGCTCAGCCTGACTCCAGTCTAGCATGCGCCTGAGCTTGAGATCATCCCATAGCTGATATATTCACCGATCGAACGAGACCCGATTACTAAATGCTAATGTGTTCAAAAGTACCATCGCGCAGTATTTATATCATTTCCCTCCTATTCCTCTCATTTTCTTTCAATTGCCTCATATAAATGACTGTTATTGTCACTCACCTATAAATATTACAGCACACGATCGCACAACAACCCATCATTTGAAGACATCTTCCTCTTTGAAATTATCCGAGAACAAAATGTAGAGGAGAGAAGATTCACGGGAGAAAATTTCCGAAAAAGAACAAATCTTCCGAAATTCGTCCTTGCCTAGGGCAAAAGAAAAGAATTTCCCCTACCAATCCAACGATGACAAATCGGAAACGACTGCAAAAAGAAGATGCAAAAGAAAAAAATCAAACACATCGCCTAAATGCGTTGAATTTAACGAGTCAAAAGTAATTGGAGTAATTTAAGTGTAATATTAGTAAAATCGTTTGAGAGCGAACAGTGCAATATTATTATAGTAACAGAAAACAAGTTGAAAAACGTTGCATCGTGATCAGTTGATGACGACGACGATGATGCATTAGGGAGAACGAGTTTTCAAAAACTTGAAAAAATCACATTACATGACATTATATAACAACTACAAATGTATTTCATTTAATCATTTTATCACACAGACCAATAACAAAACTAACGTCAAAAACAACAAATAATACTGCCTTAACAACATCCTGATAGCTAGAGGCGTAGACTCACNAAAAAAAAACGAAAAATCCATCTCAGTATCTAGGCCCAAACCCGCTTGATGTTTAGGCTCCCCTCCTGTCTCGAAACCATACTCCTAACTATGCCCTTGTTATATGTCTTACCAATCCTTCCCATCTTCCTCAAACTGGTCATTCTTAAAGAAAAAATGCTCAAAATTCCCTCTCAAAGAAATTCCTTGCCTTTTTTGAAACGATTCCCTGCCTCCCTTCAAGTAGCACATTCAAATTCTATCCATTTCAATGGGTTTCTTCTAAAGGAATACCAAATTATGAAATGAACAACAACAGCACATTAGAGAATTCAATTCGGCAAATCCATACGAAACGTGAATCCAATCTCGAAGACAATAACTTCACTGGATAGGATCTATACTTCTTTAAATGGACCTCTCATAAATCACTTTGTTCAATTCATCAATTGATAGCAATAACATTGAATAAATTCTCTGATTTCAATAACTCTAATTTTACTCCTCCCTTTGATTTCGCTTATAATTTATGTGACTAATACCAACCGAAACATCAATCATAACCGAAGATCATAAAACATTTCTTACAAATAATTAATGAAATAACACAACCATTACGTAAAAATACCAGCGCACAATGGCTAAAATACAAACGCACGAAAGCAAAAGCAAAAAACAAAACGAAAGAATCTCTGAGAACGTTCATTCATTCATTTCTTCGTTCAATCAGCAATTTTTCTAATATGCCAAATTCGAGCACTGAAAAAGAAATCAACTTCTAATAATAGTAAATGGAATGGAATGAAATGAAATGAAA